GACGAAATCGAAATCAACGAGAGTCTCCATTTTATAGAAGAACCAATTGAAATCATGGATAGAAAAATTAAAAGAACAAAACAAAGTCGCATACCCATCGTGAAGGTCCGCTGGAATGCAAAGCGAGAACCTGAATACACCTGGGAACGCGAAGATCAGATGAAACACAAGTACCCACATCTTTTTCCCTAATCCACAAGTGTTTTTCTTACGTTAAATTTCGGGACGAAATTCCCTCGAACGGGGGGATGATGTGACAACCCGATATTTCGATTCTATGTAATGACTTAAAAAGCCAAGTAATGTAACCACTTTCGAAAATAATGAAATTTTCTTTGAAAACAAAATGTAAAAAAGGTATCTATTTTGGTTACCTGCTATGTTAGATATCATTAAACCGGGAGCGTACATAAAAAGAACGTCCAAATATGACTTCGTATGAGAAAGTTATGATTTTTCCAAGTTCGGTATAGCGGTAGACAGCTAAAAACTCGAAACAGAGATCGAGCAACTTTTGACCGGAATGACCTAAATGAGAATCGAAGGTCTCAACAATGGTATTTCAACGGTAAAAAGTCTGGCAAAAACAAACATCAGATAAAGGAGTTATAGATTTCTAACGAACTTTTCTTACCCCGACCTTTTAAAAATAAATAATAAAAATAATTTCAAAATTTTCCAACGGAGTCTAAACGAAAGTTGTACAGCGTAGTCTCACCTAGGCGTGGATATAAAGAACGTCAAAAACGGAGTTCGTACGAAGAAGATATGAATTTTTGAAGTTCACTAAATAATAAAAATATAAATTTAAAACAAAATTTGGTATTATCCAAAGGGGGAGTCACCGGCCCAATCCAAGTTACGCCAGGCGTAACAGCGTACGCGAGGACAAGGCCTCGGATTGTCCACGTCTCCCCCTATGCGAGGTTATGCTCCGTCCCATTCGGGCTCCGAGGCAGTCGAGGATGCGGTCGCGCATGACGCATGCGTACGCCCAACGTACCGAGGCGGTTCCCAGCCCCTATAAAAGGGATGCGAGGGTTCCGGGGAAATTACACATTTTCTCTCATCTTTCTTGCGTTTTTGCCTCGTTTTCCGTGCACGTGATATCCTGAAGCCTTGGTGTCCATACTCAAGTCCCGAAGGTCGTTTGTGTTCCCGAGATTCCCGAGAAAATCTGCTTTCTCGAGTCAAAGTTTTGCTCAGTTTTTATCTCGCTTTTTTCGATATTTCAAGTGAGTTCATACCCCTATAAACTATGCTTTTAAATGTTTTATAAATGTTTTTTATACAATATTAAAGGGGGGAAATGCAAGTAAATAAAACGTGTTTATATGTATATAAGTAATCATATGTGATTCATAAACTACTACATGAGTATTCTCGTATGGAATATATATTTTCGATAACACCTTGTCTCGTGGAAATAAAACGTGTTTATATATATATATATATATATATATATATATATATATATATATATATATACACACACACACACACAAATCAAATGCTCCATTTTACATTAGGTATATGTGAACAGTTAAGTCACTTTACGTGGTATACTTTACATACGGAGTGAGCATTACACTAGGGTTTACTATATGAACGAAACACACTTTGAAAAACTATAATAGGTATAGTTTACGAGGAAATAATGAACATTTACATACTAGGTACACTACATCAAAGAAGATATTTTCATATACAAGAACAAATGGACATTTTCATACGTAAATCTGTTTATACTAAATTTTGTGAGACATTTCACGTACCTTCGAGTATGCATTTTAAGTCCTGTATTATATACCATAATCCCTTGTAGGGGGAGCATGATACTTGTGTATATATCTATACGGGATTGACAATCCCACACCTAAGTTGTTAGCTACAGCTAGACCGGCAGGCCGTCAAGCGAGTCTACTCAATAGAGTATGCCTTTCGTACTCAGCTTGTACGCTTAGTGTACTTAAGCCTTGACCAAAAATGGGGTGTTAACCTCTTATGCCCTGTGTACCATAGTATACGTGCAACCATCAATTCATTTTATTAAGAGCTTAACCCCTTGAGCTCTTTTGTCAAAATTCCAGATATAGTCCTTAAATGATGTGTTTAACCATAAAGTTTCCAACTTTATGGTCTTGCATGGTTGTTAAGTGTTTAGTACCAAAAACCCTAACTTCTTAACTCTTTAAGACATCCTAGCTCATGCATGGAAGAAAACAAAATTCCAGGATTACATTTTTATGGTTCCTAATAACTCCATAATGGATAAAGTTTCCAACTTTGTCCATTAGAATGGTCCAAACAACCAAGATATAGTCTTTAAGTCTCAAAGGGACCAATAATGCATCTTTTTCAACTTTTATCCCTTAAGTTCAAGTATCAAACCTTTATATTTGAATCAATATGATGTTTAGATGGATAAAGTTTCCAACTTTATCCATAACAAGGTCACAAACTTTCAAGATCTAAACTTTATGCACTAAAGTGACCAAAAAACTCATAATACCCAAAACTAGCAAGATCTAACAAATGCATTATCAAGATTCAAGCTTTATACATCTAGAAGAAAGATCAAGGTGAACAAAGTTTGGATCTACAAGCTCCAATGCAACCAAAACTTCTCTAAAGAGCTCCTTCTTCTCCAAGATGCACCCAGAACACTCCAAACCACTCAAACACACATTTTTTTTTTCTTAAAAGACTCAAACTAGGGTTATGGTTTTCAAGAGAGGGTGTTGGAGAGGTGGAGGTTGAGCATGGAATGAATGGGTTTGGGGAAGTTAAGGAGCTTAAATAGGGCTCAAACCAAGAAAATAGGGTCTGGGCACTGATCGCGTACGTCCAGCGTACTAAACTAAGTCTAAAACCTTCCTAACTTCTAACGGCCAGAACTTCTTCCTTCCAACTCTGTTTTCGACGATCTTTATATACACAGAAAGGTATCGAGGAGCTTTACGACCCTATCGAATTACTTTTCACTTAAAACACATCGAATGAAAATCCTTAATTCATAAAAGAAGGCTGAAACACCACTTTTTCCATTTTACCCTTTGACTCCAAAGCACAAACCGAACTCTTTGATCACATAATCCACATAACATCCAGATGGGTCTAAACCTCTCTTCCCAAAGCCCGAAGCCTTATGATACTTAAGCTTCGGGTCACGGCCCCGAATTTATGAAACGACTCGAAATAGGATGTTAATATATATATATATATATATATATATATATATATATATATATATATATATATATATATACATAGTTCAACTTATAATAACAAAATGTTGAGAATTGGGTAATCAATCTCAGTCACTCATTTATATCTTGTCGCAAAACCCTTCGTTATATCGGTACGACGAGGTAGAGGTCATATTCATATGTGAATATAAATTTACGTATATTCATGTATGAATTAACCACCTCTCATCTCCTCTGCCACCTCCCCACTTCCATTTCCACCATCTCTACCACCACCCACCTCCATCATCACCACCACCGTCGTCGCCACTGTCATCACCACTATCACTACCCCAGTGTCATCGCTACCCCTGCCACTTCCTCTGCCATCATCTCCGCCACCGTTGCCAGCACCACCCTGTCACCGCAACCACCACCACCACTACCACCTCCACCACCTCCACCATCTCTGCCACTAACAACCATATTTATATATGAATAATCAATTATGAAAAGACACGTACTTATTTATATATGAATAGGTATATACTTATTCATAAATGAATACATATTCATATATCAATAAATATGTTTCGTCCTCCCAGTAAGTTAGAATGCTTAAGCGACAGATTCAAAATGAGTGGTCCACATTCATTCCCTCATTTTCAACCTTGTTTTTCTCAATCGAACCCTCGTCGCTTTTTCTCTCTCTCTCCATCTCTCTCTCTCTCTATCTATCTATCTATCTATCTATCTATATATATATATATATATATATATATATATATATATATATATATATATATATATATATATATCAACTACCTTGTTTGTGAATAGACAAATCAAAGTTCTAAATGGTGTAGGGCGTAGGTTTTGACGGCAAAGTCAAGCCAAACCATGGTGAGTATTGGCAAGCCATGACGTTTTTTAAAACATAACAATTTTATATATTTTGAAAAATGTTAAATCAAATAATTATAAAATTATATCAAATATATTAAGTTTTTAGAAGTGTTATATGATCAATTATATATATATATATATATATATATATATATATATATATATATATATATATATATATATATATATATATATATTCACAACTATCTTGTTTGCGAATAGACAAAATCAATGTTCTAAATGGCGTGGGGTGTAGGTTTTGATGGCAAGATCAAGCTTAAACCATGGTGAGCATTGACAAGTCATTACATTTTTTAAAACGTAACAATTTTATATATATTGATAACTGTTAAATCAAATAATTATAAAATTATATCAAATATATTAAGTTTTTAGAAATGTTATATGATCATTTAATATAAAAAAAATTAACAAAAACTCAATTGTTTTAGTCACGATAAAAAAAAAAATCCTTGTGTCTCGAAAAATAATCGCATCATAGCGCAATAAAGCACCACTTTACATGTTATTTGGACGGCAAGCTTAATAAATCTATCTTTATTCTTTTTGTGATGGCTACACCACGTGTCACGTTATATCACGCTTTAACACGCATTATGACACGTCTTTACGAACCATGGACATGATACCCCCAACTAATCCAATAACTAAACAATCAATGTTTAATAATTTAATAAGAAAGGAACTACAAGAAATGCAACTTTTAATCTAGACCTTCATTTTGTGAATCCATCGACCCACAAACGTTTTTTCACATTCTCACGTTTACATCATATGTATTTTTAATATAGACCTTCTCATTTTTAATATCTTTCTCAAAATAATCTTTATAACGATTATACAAATTTTAAAATATCCATATTGGTATATGATGATTTTAATTATCCTGATTTATCCTCTTTATTTAAAAATATTTCTATCCATTTCATAATGATCGTTAATGTTAATGTTTACAGTATTTTTATTTAATATCTTTTTAATTAACCCATATAATATATTGTAACCTAATTTATTATATAACTAATACATTCTTGTTTAGATTTTTTTTTTTTTAAATTTGGATAGGTTTAGGAGAAGTTTATTTTGATATGTTTAGGGAATTCTCCTAACAAAAAATAACAATAAACAAATCAATAGCTTTGGAAAGCCAAGGACCCCTTGTCCTAATATTTTAAATTAAGTTGTCTTGCTATTACATTCGTCGATCCCAATTCTCTTGAGCCTTTAGCAACACATTCACGACCTTTTTTTGTTGTCACTTCATTATCTGCCCCTGACAGTGTAAAAGTAGCCTAAGTTTCTAAACTAACAGTTTTCATTCTTAAAATAAACATCTACTCGATGTAAATTTTGGTCACCGTTTAAGTGACATACCTTGTTTGTTTGATGCACATTTCTCACCAACCGACGGTGCTTTCTTCAACAATCTAGATTTATTCTAGAAAAAAAAAATACAAGAATTAGATGTGTGTTAATGTAACAATGTTTCTTTTTACAATCTATGCAATAAAATTATTATTTTAAAAACTTTTATACAAGGTATAGTCATGTCATATTAGGACTAAAGCTTACCATTTTTTCATTCATCCCACAAATTTGATAGGGATCATATCATATCTTACCCTACTTTTATTTAATTTTAAATATATGTAAATAGTATATAAATATTATATTATATTTGTAGGAAGTTAAAAAATAAAAAATGAATTTTGATATATTTTTTATAATTTATATATATATATATATATATATATATATATATATATATATATATATATATATATATATGATTTAATAATAATTAAAAAAAAGGTGCGGCAAAACTATGACCCTACTTATCTCATACTGTACTTTTTTTTAGAGGTTTGGTGGGGTGTTTACCACATACCGCACTATTCCGTAGTAAACGTTACATTGCAAACCGTATAATCTAAAGTACATAATATTGTTAGAAGGGTTACCTCATGACATGACTCAAGTTAAATGTTTATTTATGTAACAACATATTAATTTTTACCCATTTATATAGAGTATCAATGATCTCTTTGTTTGGGTCAATTTATGAATGATCTTTCATATAATCAAACTTATTATAGGTAAAATATCGAATTATTTGTTTCTAAAATGAAAAGTCATGCCATATTTTGTATAAAAATCCATTATGTTATATAAATTTCAAAAATAGGTTACATATGCTAATATTTTACTGTAAATCTAGTCACAAGAAAACTTTAGTGTTGGATGAAAAAACATAATAACATACCTTTATTTATTTATTACAAGTGCATTATATTTTTATTATATGTTTGCTATAAGATTTTATTTTCATATATATATATATATATATATATATATATATATATATATATATATATATATATATATATATATATATATTACTGCACCCTTTTTCTTTATTTGTTTATCATGGTGTTCTATATTTTTTTTCTATTGTAACATTGTAATTTATAATTTTTACCTAGTTGTAACAATGTTGTTAAAATATAAATTACAACTTTATTACTACAATCAAGCATATTTTTTTAAAAACATAATATCATAATAAGACAAAATTACAAGTACAATGTCATAGATTTTTTCAAATGTAATACTTTAATAAAAAAATTAAAAGTATCATATTTTAATAAAAAAAAAAAAGTAAAATATTAGTAAACTAACAAACTAAACATATTGCTATTTTTCCATTTAATTAGCCTAAAACTCTAGCTTAGACACCCACGTATGCCCATTTCATTCTAAATTTATTTGTTATAGCATTCTACTTTTACACTTTTTGATACAAAATTTACACTTAAAACAAAAATTACCTTGGAGGTGGAGGTGAAAACAGGAGAACTAGCAGTATCATCAATATCATTAATCCTTTTCTCTTTCTTTGATCTTGTCTTCTTCCTCTCTCCATATACTTTCTCTTGATCATCTTCATCAAACTTCTGTCTAGGTCCAGATGATGCATCAGAAACCATAGACAAGTCACCATCATCATCATCCGCTTCTTCTTCTCCATACTGCTTCACACCCATATACGACCATGAATTATGGGACTGGTCAAAATACATGGTCCATCCCGATTCACATTCAGAAGTCGACATGTTCATCTTTCTTTATGAACAAACTCTTCTTTCTGAAACTATAGTATTTTGAGTACTTTAGTTTTGTGGTTTGATTGCTTGGAGGAGACAGGGAGCTTGTTAAATGAACGTGGCTTCTGTGTTGTGGCATATATGAGAAGGAAAAACCAAATGAATCAGAGTCAAATTCGAGACTTTTTTTTGTCTTTAGCTCTATCCTTTGGCGTTACTATTTTATAATGAACCAAAAGTGCCAGTTGGCTATTTCTGATCTTTTAGGAAGGAGGGGTGTGAATTATTGGAGCGATGAGACAATATAGTGATGGTTGTATTACAAAAGACGTCCGTTAGAGTTTGATCCACGTTAGTGCAAGGGCCAGCTCAATGCCAACTCCTGGCCCTGGTGGTGGTCTATGGCTATCACCCTATAATCCTATATATAATCCCATTGTTCCATACCCAACACATGTATATAACCATTACTAATTCTGATATTTGAATAGTAACTCATCTCTTTCTTGTTATATGTAACATGCAAGAAGTAATTAACCATATACTTTCCTACTTTTATCAAACACACGAAATATACAACAACGTTACAAAAAAAAAAAAAAAAAAAGTAAAGAACACATGGGACCCATCGTTGGTCCAAACCCATCGTCGGTCCAGAAGCAAGGAACCAGAATCCACAGCTTAACACACATTTGATTCTAAGATGATTAGAAATGGTTGTTGAGGGTTGGAGTCTTTTAACATCTACCCTTGCAAAAGTAATTATAGTTTTAATACTATACTAGACACGTTATAGGAAAAGGTTCTTTTGACATGTTGGTTAATGTACACTCGTGTGGCCAGATTTCTCCAAAAACCTTTATATAAATCCTATGATTTCCAAAATCTATTAGAAATTTACTAGCTTTTGATCAAAAGTCGTAAAAAAAATCGATTTGAAGTATAATTTTAGTAACCATATATTTTTAAAAGTCCATATGTAAAATAAAATGGAAAAAAGTTATCATTATTACAATTTTCCCATTTCTAACAATATGTAGGGTTGGCAGACCCAAAATTTGGAACACACAACCTGGTCCTCTCTTTGTTCACGTGCATAGCCTTTGAAGTTTAGGCGTTTGAGTTCTCAACATGGACAAGCACCATTCGTTGTTGTTTTGTTATATATACTAGCTAGCTGCTATAATAGTTATTTTGTGCTATTCCTTCTCCATGCAATGCCATATCGATTTGCCACATGGATGGAATTATGATCATACGTACAAAGCTTTTAGATTAAGTTATGAGCTCGATAAATATATATAAGCGTTGGTCAATTGTTAACCTTATTAATATATTATAACTATTTAAATCTGCCGAAGCAACAATATGTCATCAAGAACCGTAAGACCCTTGTCAATTATAAGTTGGGTACTTTCATGAAGCTAATACATAGGTTTGATATAGCTACGAATGGGTCATATAATATGATGATAATAAATATATATATGGTTACAATAGTTAGGACTTGTCTAATATAACATATGCTGAGAACAACGAGTAGGACAAATAAAGTGATATAAATTTACAATTCATTAGATAATAATAATGAGTAGTACCATTATGTAGTGACATCATATAAGGCAACTAGGTAAGGCCATTATCACAACATGTTTTATGACACCACTCAAATTCAATAAATATCAATTTCACATAATTATTAATTAACAAAAAAAATAGATTATCATAAAAATAATAATGAGGAAGCTCTAAAAATCTAGAAAGTGACTCGTAGCTCTCTATGTGTTACAAGTCCAAATCGCAAACCAGAATTAATACAAAATAAATATCCAAATCAGGGGATATTAATGGGAATAAACGATCAATATATTATATAATATATTAGATAAGAATCCTCATATAACATCTAGAGAGATCCAGTAAACTAACACAATTTGAGTTGTATTTAACAAAAGACGAAACTACAAATTTACAGGGTGTTTGACTTAGTTTTTTAAAGGTCAAAAGATCTTTTTGAAAAAGTTACAAAAAATCAGGTTTTCTTGACTTTTCCAAAAAGTTGATTTTCCTTCTTTGCAAAATCTAAAAGTAGCTTTTATAAGTTTTTTTGCCAAACATCTTTTGCCTATGATCTTTTTTTAAAAGGATTTTTGATCATTCAAAAGCTAAGCCAAACACCCATTTAGTTCTTGTGGTTTGCAAAAAATTTTGGATAGGATCCAAAAAGTTTCTGACTTGCATAGAAAGTCCAAAATTAAAACTTTTTTTTGTGGTTTTGGTTCAAACAAACATGAAAAGACTATTTTACCCTTATTATTTCTTTTTTACATTTTTTTATTTATTTTAGAATTTAAATAATTATAGAAAAATAAAAAAAATAAAACAACACCCCCATCCCTCTCCATTGTACCCCTCCCCCTTTCTCTCTCCTTTTCTTTTTTTACTCTCTCTATCTCTCTCTCTCTCTCTCTCTCTCTCTCTCTCTTTCTCTTTCTCTCTCCTATCTTCTTCTTCCTCCCCGACATTTCACCTGCAATTTCTAGATGAAAACCCAAACCAGATCCATCAACACCCACCTCCAACAACCTCGCCAATCTCTATCCACCTCTCCCATCGTCGATCTCCACCGCCCACTCGACCTCACCTAAACCCACCGTAGCCTCTCTATCTCTTTAGATTTATGGGTATGAACATACAAATTCATATGAAATCATTTCTGGTTCAGAGTACCAAATACTCTACTGTAATATCCCCATTCTTGACCCTATTCTGGAACCCACAAATCAACTTGTCTCCCTAATGCTCTGTCCTAATCACCAACAACCACCATCCCTAAATTTGAAGCTCTAGCCCTTCTTAGCATATCCAAGAAATCAGAATCATTAGAAAACTCGATTTCTCAATAACCAATCTGCAACAAAGAAATCATTTGAAAACTCCCACTTGAAGTGCATTAATGACGACATCGATTCAGTCTACTTCGATTTAGAATAAGATGAGAAATGGATATGAGGGATGGGAGGTGGATGTTGACTTCAATTTCAGTTTCAGAAAGAGGCAGACAAAGCTTTTTGATTTGGATCTTATGGGATCCGATGAACTTTAGGGATGAACATAAAGAAAATAATTTCCAGAAGGAAACCTACACATACACACATACATAAATCGATTGTAGACTGGATTTTGTGGGTTTTCTTTTGTGTGAGAGATTTTTGTGTGTATGTATGTTCATCAGAAATCGATGGAGTAACCAGCAAAATGAGAGAGAAAGAGTCAAAGAGAGAGAGGGAGGGGATACAGAGAGAGAGAGAGAGAGAGTACGGTGGGGGTGGAAAATTCTTTTTGTTTATTTTGTTTTTAAATCAAAATAGCATTAAAATACTTATATAAAAAGGAAAAAAGAAAAAAAAAAGTGCATAACCTTATTTTTAAGTTTTTTTTTGGACCAAAAACCCAGAAAAACCCTGATTTTGGACCTTCCATGCAAGTTAAAAACTTCTTCGACCCTATCCAAAGTTTTTTGAATACCACAAGGACCAAATTTACAATTTTGTCTTCACAAAACTATCTTTTTTTTTTTAAAAGTAACCACTTGGTCCGGAATAGGTCATTCCGGACATAATATTTTGGGCTTCTTGCATAGATTATGGTTTTAGTTCGACATGTATTAAGTCAAAATTAGTTAGATAAGGTTGTGAGGCTCTTCAAAACCTTTCCATTGATATAATGATCGTTAAAACAGAGTTGAAACAAAGAACTTATGATTGTTTGAAGTTGAGGTGGTTTTGGGTGAAATTCGTGGCAACGACGTGGGGATCAAAGCCCCAGACATGATGATCAGTCAGGCCCAAGCCTATGATTTTTTTTTTGGTTTTCAACGTATTTAAGCTTAATGTTCCCCATTTTTTGGCATTTTATCACCCTCTATCATCTCTAGAACCTCTTTGGAGAAACCATAGTATCTACCTTCAAGAATTAAGTTTCGCCTCTCTCCTCTCTCCTCTTTTGGATGCTTTTCATGATATTTTGATGAAATAAGAAGATCACGAAGGTTATTTTAGTTTCAATGAATGATGCTTCAAGTTTGGATCCATCAAAGGCACTACATTTATGGACCATTGTGAGTATAAAGTTCCAATCTTGTTATCTAGTTCGTTAGATCTTCTTGTTTGGGTTTTTGGCACTTTTGGCCTATTTTATGAGTGATCATGGAGTTGAGTGGACTCCAATATCTTCTGATTAGTTTGGAATGTTTCTTGGACCCCATAGACTAGGAAAGTTAAGATCTTTTACCTTACCTTTTAGTCATTCAAGTCATCTTGATCCTTTAGGTCATTTGATATATTAAAGTTTAGATGTTGGAAGATTGTGGCATTATTATGGATAAATTTGGAAGCTTTATCCATCTAGACATCTTGTTGTTTCGATCTGAAAGTTGGAGTCTTAGTCTTGATGGATTAAGTTGAGAAAGATGCATTTTGGGTCCTTTTGAGACTTAAAATCTAGATCTTGGTGGTTTGGACCTTTCTAATGGATAAAGTTAGAAATTTTATCCATTATGTAACAACCCAAAATACGGTCCCAAAATTTTTTGTTTAATGAAGTAACAAAAACATAATAACAAATCATATCATTCATAAACCAAAGTTATTATATTAAATCAAAGTATTGATATTGCCATATTTATACCTATTTTTAGGCAATATTTAAGTACATTTTTATATATAAGATGGTAATTTCTATAGAATAATGATACTTATGAGTTTAAATGTTATTTGCAGCCCAAAAAGAAGACAATTTGAAGAAAAGGGACTAACAATGTTAAAGGAAGAAACTTTGGGAGTTAAAAGATTAAAGGACAATAAAATCAGGGAAAAGCATTCTCACATCGTGAGAACTGGAAGATTCACGACGTGAGTTTAAGTTCTAGAAGATATGTACGCGGGTGAAGGAATCATTGCCGAACACGGTTATCTTGTATTCACGACGTGAATAAATTATTATTCACGACATCAGTTATAAAAATTGGGAAACTATATATATCCTCGACCATTACGAATTAAAGGGTTTTTGGGGGTGATTGGAGGGGTTCCTGAAGACGAAAAATCAGAGGAGAAAAATACCTAGAAGCTGTTTTCAACACCAAAGAAGATGAAGTTCATAATTTGCTTTACAAACTTGGTACATTTATCATGTGTTTGACTATAGCTTTTGACTGTTTAGCTGTTAATATGTCCAACTAAATCTAGCTGCTTCTGTTAGCTAGATAAAGCTGGAACTCATGGTTTGAATGCATTAGAATTGACTTTATTTGTTGGTTATATGCTTGTGTTGATTGATTTTACCTAGCAT